AGTGAATGAGACATTAATTAAACAAACAGTGATAAAACTAAAATATCAAGAAAAAGACTAGATGGGTTTTGAAACCTTGAACTATGGGTCAGGGAGAGGAAGTGGATCAGAGATTAGGTTGAGAGAGGGGAGGAGAGTTCCAAGCAGAGAGAGTAGCACGTATCTCAGAGTCGGGAGGAAATGTGGTATGTGTGAGTTTTAGAAGTTTGGAGACCCAAAGAGGTGGGAGATGCAGAAAAGGGAGAGGTAACCTTATGTACCATGCTGAGGATTTCATCACCATCCTAAGCAGTGTTGGGAAGCTGTTGGTTGCATTCATGTAAGAGCCTGAGGGATTAGATTTGAGTTTCAATAACAAGTTCCAACTGGCTGCTAATAGAAATAGTTTTCTGTCATACTTCAAGGTGATGTAGAAGGGGTACAGAGGCTATAGGTAGACTTGCAATTAGGAAGGGCTTGCAAATAGTTTGACAAAAAGTAATGGTAATTTTGAACCAGGATGAAGGTGGTTGGGATTGGCATAAGAAATATTTCAGAGGCAAAATAATAGGAATTTGAAACAAATTGGATATGTTTCAACAAATTGGTGGCCACTGAGGTGGGGAGAGGGAGGCATCAAGGATGACTCCTTGGTGTCTGGATTGTGCAGGTGCTTTGGTGTCTATATAATTTATGAAGCAAGAAATAATGGCAGAATTATTATGAGTTCAGTTTTAGACCTTTAAAGTTTGATCCATTTGAAACATTCAAATGCAAGTTGAGTGTGCCACTTGTTTGGTGGGTCTGCTTGGGTTGAAAGAGTGTTCCGTGAAGGCTGTTGGTATGAGCCCGTGGACCACCTGCAGGGGTGGAGATTGAAGGTATGGCCATGGGCTACGTTGGCAGGAATACAGAGGAAAACAGGAGTGTTCAGGATTGAGCCCTGCCAAGTGCAACATTCAATGACCTTAGCTTGCTGGAAGTGATCCAGCAAGCAGATTTCAAAAGAACAGCCAGATATTTTGAAGAAAAAACAGGGATGTGCAGAAAAGTCAGAGATGAGAGTCAGGAAGGAGGGAGCAGCCAACATAGCATATGCTCCCAAGAGATTCCTAGCGATCCTAGTGAGAGCAGTGCTGGTGACACTATGTGGGTAGAAGCCAATCCAGAGGTCTGAAGAGGGTGTCTGCAGCGAGGGGGCAATGGAGATGGAGCGTGTGCACTGCACTTTGGAAAACATCACTGTGAAAGGACAGTGGTGTGGGTGAAAGGTGAGAGAAAGAAAAGGTAGCTGTTGAGGGCATGAATTATTTAGTAAAGGTTTTATTTCCTTTAATCATAAAGATATGGACCTTGTTAAAAAGCCAAGATATGAAACACATTAAAAGAAAGCAGTTAAAAATAGGAAGGCAGACAAAGCTGGAAGGAATGGGCTCTAGAAAATAGGTGGCAGAATTAGCTTTAGATAGTTAGTGAGGGGGGAAGGGAGGGAGAGATCCTTCTTTTTATCAAGAAAAATTTTTTATCAAGAAAAAGGAACAGATTTAGGTTGATTATGTTCACTGTCAGGGACGATGAAAAAGTCATCACCTGATGGCCTCTATTTCCATGGTAAGGTGAAGCAAAGCACCGCAGGGTGTCAGTTCTGAACTGAGTAGAAAAAACTGGGAATGACCATTGTAGTGTCAACCAGTCAGTTAACAGAGAATGGTCTTAGGCTTGACATATATTGATCCCTAATTGGATTTCATTCAAATCGTCCTGTATACGTACATGTTAAATGCTCACCCTTATAATTTCTCTGCATTGTAATAATACCAGACAGAACAGGTGAAATCTGTGCATTCAGTTCCCTCTTCCAAATTGCTCCTCTTGTTGATATCTATATCATGTAAGCATTTCTGGAAATGCACAGCTTCCCAAGTATGCATTTTCTTCATGTCTCTTCATCAGGAGGATGTTCTTCCCTAGGACACTGAAATTTCTACTAAACATTTGTGTTTTCTTAAAATTTTTTCCTCTGGACTTTCCTGCTTAGGCAGGAAATGACACCAATCTATCATTGGCAGCCCTGACCCTGCAAACTACAGACGCCTTCACCCCTTCTCCCACAGAGCTGAGACTTCTACCTTTGTAATTTTTAGCATGAAAATTGATTTAGTGGTATTGATTTGAAGTAAAATTGTTGATGCCAAGTTATTGTGCCTATTCTTAAAATCCTTAGCTGTTAAATCAATATAGTTTCAAAATATGTGGTTAATATTTTCATAGTTTCTACATTACCACCTAAAATCACCATGACTAATTTTTCCATAACTGTATATTTGTAACCACTTTTTAAGTGATACACATGTAGACTGTGTGTGTAAAAAATAATCGATAGTAAATGTCGCATTACATTGTTAGTATGAAAGGAAGTGAGAAGTAGGGGAAGGGAGGATCAGCGGGCACCATTTCCGCTGAGCAAACAATACCTCTTCCTTTACTGACAAATTACGTACAGGTTCTAGTTATATTTTTTCTTATGCTAAAGTGACTTCTCTGATGCAGGATGTTAATGCTTCAAATTACAGTTAGTCAAGAAACCTAGTTATGAACAAAAGCTAGGTGAGTAGATGATAACAATAACTGCAAAGGTTCAGAAAAAAATTACTGTAAAAGTCCATTAGCCAATGCATCATCTATAAACAAAGTATGAGATAAAACTGTACAACTTAAAGCTGTTTTAATGTCCTTCATTTTTAATTTTTAGGAAAATTAAAGGAAATGTTAACAATATACAGAAATCCTGGTATGTAACAGACTGATAGAGGGAATAGTATCTATAAATGACGTTCAGCCTTCCTAATTTAGGATCATTCATTCATTTCATGGCCTGCAGTTTGTATCCAATGAAAACTATCTGTCCAGGTTTTCTTATTATTTTGAAAAGATGATTTTTGTCATAAGACTTGGGCCCTGTGATACACTGTTCTTATTTGATTTTCTTTAAACAATGGAAGAGTCAAGTTAAAAAAATAGATCCCTCGATAGGAATTATTTAGGAAGAAAAAAGAGGCAATGGGTTGAATTGCTATGTAAAAGCAAAAATGACCTCCTGGAGTAAATTTCACTGTTTTTCAAGTGTGGCAAAAATAATATGTCTTGGCAGTTGAAACATTCTATTTACCTGGGACCTGTCAGTCATTCTGATTTTGAAAGACACAGAATTTATACATTGTCAACACATCCTTTAGGCAAGAGCCCAATGTTCATCAAGAGCAAAACTAAAGCAAATGCTCAAATAAATTGAAAGTCAAAATGCTGCCTGGGCAACTCATTTTAAGAACATATAACACACAATCTACTGTTCATATGTGATCATAATTGTACTCTGTGAGATATAGATGACAAACTACATGGCTTTTGCTGTGCTTTTCAAGTGGAATACGGTCTGGAGATCAATGGCTTGGGTTTTTCCTGCACTCCACATAAGGCAAACGATTTGTCGTTGGGCAACCCCCATAAAGACAACTCTCTAATAGTGAAACTGCTGACAGCCTTGTAGGTGATTTCGGCAGTGAGGCTGGGGCTAAACATGCTGAACTACATTACAGGCGGTCCCTGGAGGACAGACTGCGGCCTCATTGGCAAGGGCACTGGAAGAGTTCCATCTGACTCCTCATTAAACCTCTTGCAGGAATTAAAGCTCCTGGTCTGTGGCTGCTATCGGTTCTCTTTCAATAGAAGAGGTAGCGTGAACCACATACACACAGATGCATTTTTAGATATTAGGAAAAGATTATTTTTCCTAGCAAAAATAAGTCCTCCTACAGATTACAAAAATCTTCTAATCTCTTGATTGTTAAAAATCTTATTATTTCCAGTGGAAGTAGCTTTATTTCAGTTCATGAGAGTTCATGTTTAATGCCTATATTAAGGCATATAAAAGACACTACTTTTCTGTGTTATCTTGTCTCTGAGAGAGGCAGCATTACAAGGAAAATAGTTGGTGGTAATAAACTCAGCCTTTACCTAACTGTATTGCTGGGATAATGAAATCAGAACAAATATTTTGAAGCAACTGGTGAAGCATCCATTACTATTGCACTGTATGCTGCCAATGGCCATTCTTGTTGACTCGGAGTCTTGAAAACAGCATAATAAGATTTACCATATTATGAAAGTATTGCTTTGGAAAACCATCAGTAGTTCAAATGAACACACAGCATGCTCTGTGGACCGACAACTCCACATTGTTGATGATACATAATTCACATTCTTGTGGGAGTTTCTCCTACGGAGATTCACATGGCTGTTGCTGTTTTAAGTGCAATAAAAACAATCAAAACTATTTTACCCAGCAACAACTACTTATAATACTTTATGCTGGAAAGAAAATTTTCTGTGATAATGAAATAATCTACAGTCTTTGGCTATCTAATCACAGCGTTACTTGATGAAGCATTAATCATGCTAATCACTGAAAAATGCTTTACTGCTCACCACTCACTGTTAAGGTTTCCCCAAAGTGTTCCGTATGTATATATGTGCAAAGGCATCAAAAGCTAAGCAAATGTTGAGGGAAATGCTGAAGAGAAAACCAGAAAGACAAATAGCAAAATACGTATAAATATATGCATCACCGTGAAAGTTCTTTTTGCATTTACAAGATGAGTGGGAGCGAAGGACAGTCCTTGAAATTTACAAGAACTCCTGATTTCAAATGGCTCACATATAATTGCATTATATCCTCCTCGGTGCTGTGGAATGGAGAGTATGTGAGTGTTTAAATGGGATAGGGAGAATGAAAGAGGGAAGGGATATTCTCTCTCTCCCCCTCCCCACACACAGACACACACACACTGCATCACTACAGTCACAACCACCACTCCCGTCCGAGTGTCACTGGCCCTTTGTGACCACTACCGAGAGCAGACGTAGAGTAGTTGAGAGGGGGCTGGAATCTCGTTCCGACTTGCTCAGGAGGAGTCAGGGAACCCCCGGCAGAACTCCTGAGTCCGAGATTGTGGAAAGGGTTGGGGCGGAGCCTGAAGAGGGGTTGGCCAGCAATAAGGGGCAACGGGCGGACCCTGGTGAGAGGGCTGGGAGGCTGCTGTCACTTTATGAATCCGCAGCCCAAAGGACCTTTCTGCTGCCAGAGGGTCCGGGCGGGCTGGGCCAGGGTCCCCGCCTCTCGCTCACCACGCGGACCCCGCTCCTCCTCTGGCAGCGGTGGTGGAGGAGGCAGCAGAGCCTCGCCCACTCCAATCCCCACCCTCTCCATCCTTAACAGTTAAAGAACAGCAGCGCCTGGCACGTTTCCGGAGGACCCCGGGAGCAAAACGGGAAAGGAATCAGCAGCAGGCAGATTGGAAAGGCAGCATGCGCGCTCCGGGACCAGCCTCGGCGCCCAAGGTCTGAGGCTGCAGTCCCGGTTCGCCATTGTGAGCCGCCCCCAAGGGAACTCGCCTGCGCCACCGTCCCTCTGGTCCCCATCCACGCGGTGATGGGGCACCTGCCCTCGAGGACGCCCGGCGGCCGCCGCCTTCTGCCTCTGCTCTGGCTCTTTGTGCTGCTCAAGGTAAGGAGCCCTCCATCCCCGCCCCGGCGGTCCTGCCTGCGCCCGCGCTCCAGCGCCCTCGCTCTGCAGCCCGGGAACCGCGCGCCCCGGGACCCGAGGGCCCGGCCGCTGCAAGCTCCGGCGGTGCAGCCCAGCGCACGCTTTGTTGTGCTAGCGCGTGCGTGGCCCCCGAGATCCTACGGGGAGATGATGGAAGAACAGCGAAGTTCGCTCCCTCCAGCTTTCACCCTTTGTGCTCTTTTACCGCCGCTGGTGTTCGCATCAGAGGTGGGCTTGTTGGATAATGCTTCCTCGGGAAAAATGAGGTCACTTTTACTTCTGGTCGCTATGTACTGCACCCCAACACTGCTTAACCTTTCCGCCCTCCCCCAACCGAGTGTAAGCCTGCTTTGTGTTAATTTACCTTCTGCTGGAATTGTAAACCGGGGGCCGAGCTCCCTGCTGCTAGGGGATTGCTGGGGGTGGGTGGTGAGCATCGTTTTCTTTGAAAAAAATGAGTGTCAGCTTGAGCTTGGAGAAGGTTCCTCTCTCCCCAGTCTTCGCTCTCCAGCCGGGGAAATACCCTTTACAAAGTCTCAGGACTTTTCCCCACTATATTTATGGGGGATAGTACCTCTAAATTTCAATGGCAGAAAAAGCTGTATAATTTACTTTTTCCTGTCTTCTTTGGAATATCCTACTTCAGGGTTTTACTTTGAGGAAAAGAAAAGGGGCTTCTTAAAAAAAATCCTAGTTTGACAACTATACTGTACATGAACAATTTGAAAGAAATTTTAGCTAGATGTCTTTCTTCTTGGAAAGTGGTGTGAAGTTAAGGGGTAATTGTCTACCACTTGTGTCCTCAGTGGGTCTCCTTTAGTTTTGTCGTTGAGTCCTTCCTGTCCGTTCTCGGGGAAGCAAACTGTGTCGACTGGTTACAGGGAGCTATTCTTTCAGCACCACAGACACAGCTTCGTTAGAAATGGATGAAACATTCATGGATGCAAGTGTTTTCTTATCAAAGAGTCACTTCTTCCTCACGTGCACCATTAATTGTGAACGCTTGACAAAGAGATTGTGGAGCAGGACCGATGGATTGAGAACAGCGTCAGTTTTAAATATTCCATATTTTCACTTCTCTTAGTGAAAAATAGGAAAATAGTTTCAGAGAGAAAGAACAACGGAGTGAATAAAGAAACTTCCAAATTATATTTAAAATGTTTATTCACGAATCCTGAGTTTGAGTAATAATTTTATTTCAATTCTGGTTAATAGTAAGCTTGGGCACGTGCTTTCACTCCAGGGGGTTGCAGCTCCGTGCCACAATGTGCTCGACTTAAGTTTTCTATAACATTTTTTATTTGTCAAATTCTGTCATGACCTCTTGTATATGCAACACTTGTCATGTATCCAAAGTGACACATGGAGTCACCACACATTTACCGAAGTAACAGCTAAGGATTTACATGTATGACATGTGCTCCAAATCCAATCTTTGGCAAAACTGCAGGTTTTTATTTGAATTCTTCACAATGGCTGAGAATTACAGAAAAGGTTTGGGAGTGGACATAGAATGCTGCAATTAAAATGTAAAAAAAATGTGGCAAAAGTTCTAAATAAAACTTGATATTGGGATGAGAAAATAGTCAATGATGGCATAATGGTATTCTCAGTGACTATAATAGAGGTGCACCTTGTCCCACATAATAGATGTGCTTCTGCACATTTGTAGAAGATCCATGTCAGTTTCAGTAAACTTCATCACATTGCAAACACACTGATGAGGCTTGTCATTTAAGTAAATATTTTAATGGGACAAATAGTGTTGTAAGGCTGTACTCTTCGTTTTATAAAAATGCAGTATTTTATGTCATCCAAAAGTAAATTATACCTGAGGAAGGATAACCACTCTTCCAGTCAGTCTTACATGTACTGAAGACACACTGTGTGCCAGACAAGTCTTCCAAGTATTTCACATTTGCTATTTCATTTAATCCTATTTTGTTACAGTTGACAAGAGATGCTCAAAGTGGCAAACTGGGTGCATATGATAATGTATTTACATGTGGGGAATAGTGCATATTACCTGGTAAATTTGGTACATAATATAATCTCTTTATAATTTGTAGAAACCTTTGCATTTAAGGTCATGAATGTGTGTCAATAAAATAGACCTAAGATGTAATTAGTGACAGGAACATGAAAAAATCCCATTATTAAATATTGAGTTGTCAATTGAATCTCAGTGATAAGATCTAAAAAGGTTTGTGTGGGCTGAGTAAGAAACAAATCATCCCTCAAAATCTCTGTGGTTCTCATATGTCAATAAATCTTTCACTAATCCATTTGAAATATCCTCCATATACAAATGAAAATCTCTAAAAAACCCTAGAGAAACTCGAGCATGAGACTTAATTTATAGTTTTAGCTTTTTCACAAATTGGAAGCAAGCAGGTTGGTATATATGGCAGGGAAACCTGATGATTTGAATCTGTGTGATCAGCTAGACCCAGTTTCATTGAGGTGTTCCAAACATGCCTGGCCATGGATATCTCTCTGAATCATTCCCTATCCATGGCTCAGTGATGGGCCCATTTAATCAGGCATCTTGCATTGTCGAAATAGTCTGCTGTATGTTATGAGGTGAATAGTTGAGTAATTGGTGTTGCATAAGCACAGTGTTGGTCATAAAATTTTTTAATTTATTATTAATATTAAGGATATATGTAAATAGAAAACAAAAGTACAACTTCATTATCAAATATACTGGGAGCCTACCAATTTCAAAACCTTCTACCCACATATGAATGTAAATGGAGTATTTGTCTGGTGAGCCTCCCTCTTGTGCATCTTCCCATAATTCCCCTCGCAAACAATGTAGCTTCTGTCACTTATCTTATCTTTACTAAACCTCTCACTGAAAATTGCTTCCTGTATCAGCTCACAGTATATCAGGATTTTGTCAACTAAAATGAAAACTGTAGACTATGACATTATAAGAATGTAAATTCTGCCTTCCCTGAAGTGATGCTCATTAGTAGTCAACTGGACTATTTCCCTAAACTCGTAGGCTTGGCATGAATCCTTCTTCCTTTCTTAACCTCATCTCTATATTTCCTTCCATTTCTGCTCTTATCTGACATAATCAAAGAACATCACATTTGAAAAGAATGCCTTAATTATATTCTCTGGAAGAGGTTTATCTTTACTTCTATAAAACACACATGTTATGATGCTGGCCACAGTACTCTTATTCAGGAGGAATAGACACTTTCCAAGGTCAGACTGCCTTTCTCTACTTCCTTAAGTTCTGCTCTCTCTTTTTCTTTTTCTCCCTTATCCCATTCTTCTCTCTTTCTCTCTCTCTCACAAACACACCCACTCACACACACACACACACACACACACACACACACACACACACACACATACACACACATACCATGAACTTTCATGTTCCTCATTGAAAGCTCATCTTTTTTCTGGGGCAGCCTAGACCATCCTCCTAGCCACAGAGTTGGCTCCTCTGTCACTGACCCCTTTGATAAATGTTCTTGCCAACCTTTTGGAGAAACTCTTTCACATGTGACATCCCCACAGAGTTGGAAAAGGTTCATTGGGATGGGTTTCTATAGGGGATTGGTGACAATACTTTCCTCTGTGCAAACTGTTTCCTTTTGTTCTTTGTTATGTGAACAATTATTATTTTATGAAAGAATGGAAAATTCACACTATACTTCTGTTTCTTTTGGACCCATAAAATATACATCTACATACATAGGTAATTACAAGCAATATATGAGTTGTACTTTATTTTAAATGTAGCACTATTTCTAGCACCTAAATATCCAACTAAAGGTATTTAAATTTATAAGCACATTGACTCCTGAGTCAATATAACTCAAATTTGAGTTATATTTATATATTTGAGTCTCGAGGGTGTACAAAGGACCTTTGGTGTTAGATACAGTTGGTGAACCTATGTAAAATGTGATTGACAGCAGTATGGCAAAATACAAGGCTTAGCAGAAACTAAACAGCAATGACCACAGACATTTATTTTTTATTTTTTTCCTAAGTTAGTTTCTTTAGGTACATACTTCCAATGCAGTTGCCTTTTCAGAAGCATAGTCCCAACGCAATGATAAGCTTTGCTGGAAAGCACTTAGTGTGTTTATTTAATTACTCCAAATATGTTGTAAATATTTTTGAAATAAAGAAATGTTTATTGTAAATTTTTGTCTCCCACTGTGCTCAGTATGTAGTATTGGGGATATATTAGAAGCTTAATAAACAAAATCCACATTTTTGGCATCATATAAGTAGTTTTGACTAATATGTGTTAAATATCATAATATTGACTTGTGAACACATCTTTAAGAAAAAAACTTGAGAAAATTCTTCTTACAATGCAATTCTTACACTAAAATATTAGCAGTCCCTTCTATCAACGACTTATTAGAGTTGTAGATCAAAATACTGATGTTATTTTCTCCCAGAAAAGTAATACTCTTGATTTTTTGTTTATTTATGAGGAGAGAAGAGGACAAGAGCCTTGTGTTCTGCCTGCAGCTTCCTCCCACACCATGTGCCCTCTTACTCATTTCTACCTGCACTATACAGTACCTTCTATGGGCAGTCTGGTTACCTAATAATCTGAGTGAATTGATACCACCAACCAGAGGGTATTTGAAACAAGGTTGTAGAGATTTCTTGATTGAAATATTTTTCTTTTGCTCTTTGTTAAAACATTTATGTGAAATAGAGAAAAATGATGTATACTTGGAAAAGTATTTCAGAAACAGAGAATCAGAACTGGAACTAGGACTGTGATTTTGAGAGTCATATTACAAATTATAAACACACACAGTCATTTCTGTAAAAAATAAATATACTGAAAATTATGGAATTGAGTGAAAAATGTTTGGTGAAAACAAATGCATTACTATTCTATTTATATGAAAATAAGTGAATTTCCCTATCAGTATTCTCCATTTACTTCATTAACTTTTCCTAAGTAG